TGATTTAAAAAAACCCAAACAAACAAAAATCAAAAGCCCCACGGGGCAGTGACCTTAATGTCTAGCACACAAGAAGCAATCAAATATCCATTGAATGAGTGGTTCTATAATTTAAGGCACCATGTCTTAAAATGTGTACACGAACCACCTAGAGCATTTGATATAAAAAGTACATCTTTCTAGAAACCTTCACCAGATGCGAATCTACAGGTGAGACCTATGAATTTATACTGTTAACAAATTATCTACAGAATTCTGAAAAAATATCACAATATTTGAGAAGTGTAAATATAAGGGGTAAGAGGGGGAAAGGGAACTCAAAGGAGAGGAGTGAGAGACTAGCTCAGAAAGATCCTATTTGAAAAGAGGTGTTTTCCTGTACAGCTTTGAACTTTAAGCTTAAAAGAATTGTTTGGCATACACCTAGTACGTGCTTTGTGTACTGAATGAACTGCAGAACGAACCAGTCATTACGGTAAAAGGACCTGGTGAAATGATGCACATGGGCTCTGAACACGATCTATGCGAGGAATACTGATGGCAGATGACGTGGCCTTAGGAAATTACAGTTAACAGGGCTGTTGATTTTTCTCTTGATACTCTCTTTACATCTTAAGCAATTAGATAAGTATCTCTTACATGTGACTTCTATGAGGTGGTCCTGGGTATGAAGATGACAGATTTTAAAACATTCCTGCTCATGCTGTACTTGTCTTATTTTTACACTACTTCTCTCCATAGCTAAACTAATCAGTGTTTTGACTAAGAATTCCTTCAATGCAAGGAGCTTTAAAAACAATTAAAAAACTTTCTTTGTCTTAAAATTGGCTCAGTGCTAGGATGATTCTATGTTTGGACTTTCTCAGGGATGAATTCTATTTTATTGTTGTTGAAAACTAGACATTGAATTGTTATAATGCGTTAATTCTAAGTCAGATTCTCCCTTTCTCACGGTGTTGTTTTTTTAATGTTGCAAGTTTAACTTGAGTTCAGCCTGTGTTTTGGATGACCTTTCCTTAAATGTGGAGTAACATCTCTTTCCGTGTTTGCAGATTGACTCAATTTTGGGACATTCCTTTAATATTTAACCAGACCACTTATAATTCGGCCACAGGCATGACCTCGTGCTCTCCCTGGCCTAGAGCAGTGGCTGAATGACTCTTTCACAGGAATCACCTGATTCATAACAGTAGCAAAATTAGAGTTACGAAGTAGCAATGAAAATAATTCTGTGGTTGGGGGTGGGGTGGGGAGTCACCACAACATGAGGAACTGTCTTAAAGGGTCACGGCCTTAAGAAGGTTGAGAACCACTGGCCTAAAGCTAAACCTGTGGTAAAAGCTTAGGACTTCTCAGGGTCTTCTGAGAAGACATTTTTTCACCAATAGTTTTTCTTTAAGTTGAGGAGAATTCACCACATCAACAAAAAAGTGTTTTTATCAGTCATCTGTTTCAATTAACTTAAATCAACAAACCTAATCAAGTTAACAAATGGGAAAAAAATAAACTTTTTTTTTACCTATATCCTGCTGATTCCAGTCACCTGGTTTTAATTCACAAAGTTCAGTTTGAGAGAAGTACCCCTGGAATCCCGCATCTAAAGGAATATCAGCGAATCTGGTAAATTTATCAATGGCAATCCATTCATCTTCAATAAGACCTGAAAGCCGTGGAAGGATGTAAAATATGGTCTGAAAAGAAAATTGTAAAATCTAAATTTTTCCTGTTAATAAATACACAACACACTTAAAATACAACTGAATTATTCTAGACAACCTCCCACACTATCATATCTAACATATTATGTACTTTCATTTATATCTTGTAGTAACTTTCTGGACATACTTCTCATTTTTTCTAAAAAGTTAGGGGATTAATTTAGGAAATCCTTGAGGGCAGACAGAGCTTCCACTCCTGTGTTCCCGACTGTTTGTAATACAGCATCTTACACATAGTATGTTCTAATAAAAACAAAAAGTATTTTGTAACTGATTAGTATGAATGTGGAATGAGGCTTAAACAAATATAATTCACTAATAACCAGATCTACTCTTGCTATCCTTAGATTAAATTAGAATCTGAATTTTATCTTGATTGTATATTAGGTGTGTGACCTTAGAGAGTACATTTAGCTTTTATTGGCTTCAACTTTTCCACCCTTGAAGGGTAAAATAATATTAAAAGAGAACTGGAAAGGGTTTTGTAAAATGCACAGTGCAAACAGCTTTTATTTAGCTACTATATAAACGATTCTCTTTTCCCTATTAAAAGAAAATCAAGACCCAGAAAATGGCCAATGGGAAAGAGATGTAGAAGCAGCAGCAGCATAGTATGCAATTTTAAAATGAGATAATAAGCAACTGCTTTCACTGTGCAAATCTTTCAGAATAAAGAGGTTTTCTTCACGTTTGTAACTAAATGTTTATAAGTATCCAAGATACTAGGCTCTAAATATATGGAGTTCCTGTGAACCATTAACTTTCATTATTTCATATACACATATAATTATGATTCAGATAATTCATGGAGAATAAATAATATATGAAAGTGAGGTAATTAAAGGAAGGAACAAGAGAAAGAGGGAAGCAAGGGACTTACTCCTGCTGGAGAACTGAATAGAAAAAGGTTGGCTTAACACTAGATAGTTATTAAAGGAGTCCTTCAGAAAGATGTCAAGCAAACCATTCTGGATGCTAAAGAACACAGAGCAGAGCATGTTAAAATACTTATTTCTATTTTCAAAACTAACAGTTAAGAAAAATCTCAAAAACATTTGCACTGAAGTAGAAAATATATGTTTATGTCCTATGATGTATATATATTTCAGGGAATACAAGAGTAAATCAAAAAGGCATTGCTTCAAATTCATATGAATTTTTACTGAACAAAACTACCAGAATGTGAAGCTATTGTTTCCTGACATTTTTATCTCTTTAGCCCTTCCCCAAAGAATTCCCCCCACAAAAGAATTTATACCAAAAGGAATTATATAGCAGCTTTGGCATCCTTGAAGGATTCAAATCATGTTCTTTTAAAATGTTCGAGTTTGGGGAACAAAGTCAGTCTCAAGGAGCAAGGTCAGGGCTGTAGGGTAGATAAGGTAAGGTTTCCCAATAAAATTCTAAAAGACAACCACTGCCACCTATGGGTATGTTGATGGGGAAAAAATTCCGGAGCACAATTTGGCTGGCCTTTTTTTCACCAATTTTTGTTTTCTTAAAACTTCTTTTTAATAAGTCCCCATGATTGTCATGTGTCAAGAAAATCTATCAAGGTTAGCCCCTTTGGAACTCTCCAAAAACTAGTTGCCATAACCTTCTGAGCTGATGTCTTTACTTGAATTTAACTGCTCTAGCAAATCCCCTCCATTGTTTTGAGTCGACCTTTTTGTGGAAGGCACCTGAACGAGACTAAGAGAATTTGTTTGCAGGTATCCAATGATCACAAAAACAGGTTTTGTTTGGAATAAATTTTTGAATAAATGAACTGAAACCCTAGTAGCAATACCTTTTGACTTACACTTGTACATAGTCATTCATTTCTAAAAGGCCAACTTATAAGTAATCCACCCCCCAACATTGCCTATATTCAGTAGCTAAAATTACTGACACTCCCAAGTTGTTCAGGAGTAGTCCTAGGCCAAATGTTTAAAATTCAAAGGCAGAACATTAAATAGACAGTACAAATAGTACAAATTTTAGTATTTAATACATCGAATTTTACAATATCAATATATTTACATTCTTAAAATTATATAAGCACATTCTGCTGCAATAAATACAATGATGTGTCATTTGCTAATCTATTTTAGTCATCCAGAACCTAAAAAGTGTAATTAAAAATAGGTAATTTTATTTTTTCTAACAATGGGCCTCATTGCAAAAGCTCACCTGCACCAATGTTTTCACTCATTTCCTTTTTTATATTAGAACAGATTTCTGTTTAATTAAATATTCTCTTCAAGTGTTTACAAGCCAGACCCTGCCTGAGAAATAGAAAGTGAAAATGACATGCCAATTTTCACTGCCTAAGAGTGAAATGCAAGCAAGTCATCTGCGTAGAGTGACAAAATTAAACTTAAAGCTTTAAAATGTTAAGGTGATGCTTGTAAGCAAGGAAAAACCAATAACCTAACCATAACCCTTCAACTATGAGGGAGCATCTATAAGGATTAAAGATAGATTTTAGAATTTATAAATGATATTCTCCACTCACCTCCAAACAATAATCCTTAAGTGGGTGAAATGTTGCAAAAAAGAAATGCTCTTGAATACGCTGCCAATTCTTCTTGGCATTCCTGAAGATTAAAAACATTATGAGGGGCAAAGATGTGGAATAACCCTGGTAAGGAGGCAAATTTATTTGATGTCTTAAAGACGCACTCTAGAATTTAGTACGGAAAACTAAATTTTATACACCCATTTCTAACATCAACACCCTTAAAACTAACAGCAAATTTTATTTTTGTTTTAGATCCATTAGCTTTTGCTTTTTAAAAATTAAATTTTGTTGTTAAACTTCACCTTTAAAAACCAGACAGAGAAATTAAATAACTGTAAAAGCCATACAAAAAACTTATTCTGCAAAAATGAAAACCCTGGTCTCTGAGCTCTAAGTGCAGAAATCAATCTAATAAAATGAGCAAATGGAAAGGAGTTTCCATCTTCATCTGAAACAGAAATACTGGGAATCCAGTTGTGGTCGCCAACTAACCACGATGGGGAAGATCTCATGGATTTGTACAACTTGGATGAAAGGATTCTGAAAAGGAACTACTTGAGAACTCTGGGGTCAGAATCCTCAACTCTCTCAGGCAGTAGGGCTTATTTTTTACTCCTCCAGAACAGAAAACCACATATTCTACTTTACACAATACTTAGTCAAACTGTTCCAACTAGCATCAATAAAACAAATTCTCTATGTTCTGGACTTATTAACAGTTATTTAAGTTCTAAAAGACAAAATCTAGAGAATAAATTTAATATAACACAACACTGCTGGGTAGCAATTTCAAGATTTCCTGCCCCCCGCCCGCTAGGAAGATCATCCTTTATTTGGCCAGTGTAATCTTCTTCACTCTGTGTCTATTCCTTCTCACCTCACTAGTAGCAAACAGCTGAGCTTCACTTATCACTGGAGTGAAAAATGCCCGACATTAAAAGATGTATCATTCTTCTTCTGCCACTGCCTTGCACCTTCTCCCTTCCCTTCACCGCTTTTCAAAGGGCAGCACCCCATCTATGCTCTAAATGTTTGCCTTCCTTCAAAACTTTTCTTCTCTAGTCTACCCTTTCCTTCATCCTTTTCAAAAGCACTAACAGGCCTAACTTTTCAGGAGACAAGGCAGTCTTATTAAAGCAGTGGTTCTCAACCTTCCTAATGCCGCGACCCTTTAATTCAGTTCCTCATGTGGTGACTCCCAAACATAAAATTATTTTCGTTGCTACTTCATAACTGTAATTTCGCTACTGTTATGAATCGTAATGTAAATATCTGCTATGCAGGATGTATTTTCATTGTTACAAATTGAACATAATTAAAGCACAGTGATTAATCACAAAACAATAAATAATTACTGTATATATTGTGAAATATTTGTTTCTAATTAAAAATAAATGAAATTTTGTCTTGAAGCATGGGGTAGCATGGGTAACAGTCTTCATGCCTGGTCCTCGTATGTGGGCGTATCTGCATGTGGGCAGACCCATCTGGAGATGG